CGTAGCCATTACGCTAACTGCTGGTTCCCCATGAGCAGTGCTTTTATGAACATTCTTGTTTGTGTCTCCTGGTGGACACATTAAGAGTTTATTCTGTGTGTGTTTGTGTAATACTTTTTTTTTTTTACTTTTTTTTTTTTTGGAGAGGTTTTCACTATAGGGCGCGTGCGTTCGCCAGACAGAGAGAGACATAGAGACAGAAAGCGAGAAATCACCCCCCAGGGGGGATGGTCACACCGCAATCCCTTCTCCTCTATTCTCGTCTCAGGATCTTGGGCACGCACGCACACGCGCCCAGTGTGAGTTTTAAGCCACCGGGTCTGGGACACGAACCACGGTTGACTACGTGGGAGTCCAGCGACATAGCCATCACACTAACTGCTGGTTCCCTTACTTTTTTTTTTTTTTTTTTTTTTGAGAGATTTTTGCTACAGGGTGCTTGCACTTACCGGAGAGACAGAAAAATACAGAGATACAGAAAGTGAGAAATCAGCTCCCAGAGGGGATGGCCACAGTGCAGTCCTTTCTCCTTCATTCTCCTCTTGGGATTTTGGGCATGCACGCACATGCGCCCAGCATGAGTTTCAAGCCACAGGACCTGGGCCTTGCACCACAGTCAGCCACTTGGGAGTCCAGCACCTTAACTATTAAACCACCTGTTGGCCTCTGTTTTTGACTTTTAAAACAATGATTTCAAGTGAGTTAGAATAGTTCAAGAAGTGAAAGAGCCGGTTCATTGTGTTTTCCCAAATGATGGTACTATTTACTTTCTCGGTGATGGAATAAAAGTCTGACTGGCTCTGTAATATCTTTGTCAACATTTGTTATTGTCATGTTTTCACACTTTTACTAATATGGTGCATGTGGAACTATCTCATGGTTATTTTAATTTGTATTTTATTTAATTAATGTTGAGGTTTAGTATCTCTTTGTTTATGGACCATATTTCCTTTTCTGTGAAATTCCTGTTCATGATTTGTTCCATTTTCTGTTGCAGTGTTTGGGAACCTGACTTTTATTGGGTTAGGAATTGCTTGGTTGAATTTAGTAAATACTTACTGAGCCAACTCTTGATTTTAGGTCAAGAGTTGCTGACAGTACACATTTGTGTTGCTGGTATAGTGGTTGTTGTGGGGCCTGCAGGTGGTATAGTGGTTGTGGTGCTGCACTCACATGACTGACTAGTTGGAGTACCGAACCCGGTGGCTTGAAACTCAAGTCAGGTGCCTGTACGTGCATGCACAAAGTCCTAAGAGGAGAATGTAGGTGAAGGGATTGCAGCATGGCCATCCCCCCCGGAGGGTGATTTCTCACTTTCTCTCTCTATATATCTCCAGCAAGGGTATGTGCCTTATCGCAAAAACAACAACAACCAAGAAAACAAACAAAAAAAGAAACAAAAAACACCTTTTTTTCATTTTACTTTATTTTTTGAGAGATTTTTGCTACAGGACACGTGTGGTTGCTGGAGAGACATAGAGACAGAAAGTGAGAAATCATCCCTGGGGAGATGGGCACACTGTAATCCCTTCTCCATTCTCCTCTTGGGATTTTGGGCACACATGCACACACACTCTGCATGTTTTTCAAGTTGCCAAGTCCAGGCCTCAAACCATAGTCTACCATGTGGGAGTCTAGTACTACAACCACGATACCACCTGGTGGCATCAACAGAAATATCTTTTTTTAAAAAATGTGAATAGAATAGATAGGCTCTCACCTGAATTTGCTTTTAGTTAAAGTTCAATTTAAGTGGGAGCACCAAACTCGTGTATCATTCTTCCATTGATGTATAATTGATTACATGATTTATTTATTGTTTTGTCAGAAAAGTCATGATGCATTTTTGCAGCAGGTGACACTAGGTTATTTTTGGAAGTATTCCAGTCATTCGCATCTATTATATGTTATTGCTATCTCATTTGACAGCTGCAGTTCTAGCTTCATTCTAAAAAAAAAAAGCTAAATGATTTTGTTGAGTTTTGGAGATTTTGCAACAAGTTGAAGATGGAAGACTAATTGCATTTTCGCCATATTCTACGGTTTTACTTCCGTAAAGGGAAGAACGCATATCAAGCTTGTGAAAAGTTGCATACAGTTTATAGTGACAGTGCTCTACAAGAATGCCAGTGCCAACTATGGCTCATGAAATTTCATGCTAGTGATTTTGATCTCAGCAACACTCCATTGTCAGGAAGGTCCAGCGACATTGATGACGACAAAATAAAGGCATTGATCAAGTCAAACCCACGTTACACTACACGAGAGACTGCAGAAACATCGAACATCCATCATTCAAGTATTCATGAACTGACCTCCTGAAGAATTGGGATATATAACCAAGCTCTGTATTTGGATTCCTCATGAACTCAAAGAAGTTCATTTGATGGAACATATAAACATCTGTGATATACTCACTAAATGTAAGGAAAGACATTGGTTTTTGAAGCAACTGATATCTGGTGATGAGAAGTGGATTATTTACAATGTGGTGCACAAATGATCTTGCTCCTGACATGATGATTCGCCTCAAACATCGAAAACAGACATTCATCAGAGGAAGGTTATGCTCTCAGAGTGGTGGGATTTTAAAGGCGTCATGTTTTTTGGCAACACCTACCAAGGAAGGAACCAAACAAACAATTCAAATGTGTATTGTCAGCAGTTGGACAGTTTGAATGAATCCATCATCTAGAAACGTCCAGAGCTCATTGATTGTAGAGGAGTTGTGTTCCATCACAACAATGCAAGACCACACATGTTTGATCACCTGTCAGAAATTACTGGACCTTGGATAGGATGTGTAGCCACACCCACTATACTCACCTGACCTCGCACTGTCAGACTTCCACTTGTTTCACTCTCTTCAAAACTCTTTGTGTGGTATAACATTCAATTTGGATGAGGCTGTAAATAAGCATTTTGATCAAGTTTTCATTTATAAAGATAAGTCCTTCTATGAATGAGGGATTATGAAGCTCAGTGAAAGATGATAAAAAGGTTTTGAACAAAACAGGCAATGTGTCGATGATTGATCTTTTAAAATTTTTTTAGAATTATTTTATTTAACTATTTATTTTTAATTTGACCAGCGAATCAGAGAGAGAGAGAGAGAAAGAGAGATGGAAAGTGAGAAGGAAAGCCACCAGATCTAGGACTTAAACCACAGTCGGCCATGTGGGAGTCCAGAGCCCTAACTGCAGTGCCACCTGCTGGCTGCAATTGATCTTCGTTCTTTATATAAATAAATGACATTTATAAAACAGAAAAAGTACATCATGACTTTTCTGACAACCCAGAATAACTTCATCTCTCTATTTCAGTTCATTCCTTTGTGAAGCAATGGACTTTGACTAGTTAATTTTTAGTTTTTCTTTTTTGTATGGAATTCATCTATTATTTTTTTCTTGTCAGTGTTTGAAACTTAGAAATAAATGGGATCTTCAGAAAGTTAATGGGAAGTGTGTATTAAGAAAAAATTGTGCATAGATTTTCATTTTTTTCTTTTATACCAAAATAAACTAGTACTAACATAACATATACCGAATAGGATTTAGCTTGAGGCACTGAAAAGGATAAAAATATAAATTTGAAGAGTCTCTATCAGAGCAATAAGAAGTCTGCTAAAATTGAAACAAGGATAAATATCAAATTTACGGTGAAGCTTGGGGAAAAGGATGGTAAAATCGCTTTCTATGAAGTTTATTAGGACAAGGTCCCAAAGAAATCAGCAGTTTACAAATGGATGACTTGTTTAGGAAAGGAGAGAGATACTGAAGATGGCTCCGACAGCAGTAAATCATCTACAACAGTTTGTGAGGAGGGACCAACAGGTGCCATGGTGGTTAAAGCGCTGGACACTCCCACATGACTGATCTCCGTTCAACTGCTGGACCTGGTGGCTTGATTTCTCACTTTCCATCCCTCTCTGTCTCTGTCTCTCTCTCTCTCTGTGTGTCTGGTCAAATTAAAATAAATGAAGGAATAAATTTTAAAAATTAAATAAATTAGAAAAACAATTTGTGAAGAAAAATTAATTTTGTTCCTTAATTGAAGAGGACTGAATTTTTTTGTGTGTTTTTTGTTTTTTTTTGGGGGGGGGTTTGAGACGATTTTGCAGCGCGTGTGCTTACGAGAAAGACAGAGAGAGGCAGAGAGACAGAAAGCGAGAAATCACCCCCCAGTGGGGTGGCCATGCTGCAGTCCCTTCTTTTCAGTTCTCCTCTCAGGAGCTTGGTAAGCCACTGGGTCCAGGACCTGAACTGCAGTTGCCTATGTGGGAGTCCAGTGACATAGCCATTACGCCAACTACTGATCCCGAAGACTGAAGATTAATAGCAGAAACAGTAGCCAATATCATAGATATCCCAGTTGGTTCAGCTTACACAATTCTGACTGAAAAATCAATCAGGCAACTTTCTGCTTGATGGGTGCTAGAGCTGTTGTACCCAGATCTGCTGCAGAGAAGAGCAGAACTGTCAATGGAAATTTTAAACAAGTGGGGTTAAGATCCTGAAGCATTTTTGTGAAGTATTGTAATAGAAGATGACTCATGGCATTACCAGTACATTCTTTTTTTTTTTTATAGGGCACATGCACTCTCCAGACAGACAGACAGAGACAGAGAGACAGAAAGCGAGAAATCACCCCCTAGGGGGGATGGTCACGCCACAGTCCCTTCTCCTCCATTCTCCTCTCGGGATCTTGGGCACGCACGCACATGCGCCCGGCGTGAGTTTTAAGTCACCGGGTCCGGGACGCGAACTGCGGTCGACTACGTGGGAGTCCAGCAACATAGCCATTACGCTAACTGCTGGTTCCCACCAGTACATTCTTGAAGACTGTCAAAACAGTGTCTACCAAGAGGTGCAAGTGGTCTAGTCAAAGCAGATGCAGACTGGTCAAGAGCAAAGGTCATGGCAGCATTTTGGGGGGCGGGGAGCTCAAGATACTGAGTTATCAGAAACATCAGGACACATTTTTGAACAGCAAAATACATCATGACGTTTCTGACGGCCCAGTATTTTGTTTATCGATCTTCTAGAGGCCAAAAGTATGACATCTACGTACTAGGAAAGTGTTTAGAGAAAGTTAATTGAAGCTTTAACAGAAAAACGCCGGAAAGCTTCCTCAATCCTCCGCAGCAGTGTTCCTGCTCATTGCTCTCATTCCTCTCATCCAGCAAGGGCCATTTTGCTTGAATTTTGATGGGAAATCATTAGGCATCCACCTTCAGTCCTGATTTGGCAGCTTCTGACTTCTTTTTGTTTTCTAATCTTAAAGATCTTTGAAGGGCACACATCACTCTTCAGTTAGTAATGTAAAAAAGACTCCAGTGACATGGCTGCACTCCCCTGACCCTCAGTTCTCTTAGGGGTGGCCTGAATGGCTGGTGTCACTGCTTACAAAAGTGCCGCGAGCTTGGGGAGCTTATGTTGAGATACAGTCTCTCTTTGTGATTCCTGTCTTTTAATTCTGCTTTTCCACTAGCTTTTCGAATCCCCCCCCCCTTTGGATACAGGTTAAATTATGTCTCCGAGGCTCCTTCCTCTCCAATATGGTGTTCTCAGATAGATATTACTATATTTTATTTTTAAAATTTTTAAAATGCTACTAACTTATAAACTGGATCCTAATGTATATGAATTATTCTTTCTCAGAGTGAAGATACACAACAGCAAATCATCAGGGAGACTTTCCATTTGGTATCTAAGAGAGATGAAAATGTTTGTAATTTCCTAGAAGGAGGATTGTAAGTAAAGCGTTTCATTAGACTTTCTAATATTTTTTTTACTATGTGGTTAAAATATATACTGTGTATTCAGCTAATTGTAAGAGTTTCCTATTTTTAATTAATTGGATTAAATTAATTAACTTCCACCTATATTAACTATAAATTGTAAATAATTTATTTAAAGATATGCAGTCTTGGGGCCAGTAGGTGGCATGGCACTTGGGGTGCTGAACTCACACATGGCTGACCCCAGTCTGAGTCCTGAACCTGGCAGCTTGCTTTCTCGCCTTCTCTCTCTCATGAGCATATGTGCCTGTGGCAGATTAAAAATAACAATGATAAATAAAATATATAATTTTTAAAAAATATAATAATTTTTTTTTCTTTTTAAAAATTTTCTAAGGTTACTGTATGTAAAGGTAATATGCCCCTATGGTAAACATTCAAACATTTCAGGGGGTATAAAATGTGAAATAGGAGTCCCTCTTTCCTAGCCTTAATTCTTCCCAGTTTTTTGTGTATCCTGCTAGAAAATTAATTTTGCAAGGGCCAACACGTGGTGTGGTGGTTAAAGCACTGGACACTCCCACATGGCCAACCGCTGTTCGAGTCCTGGACCTGGTGGCTTCCTTTCTCACTTTCCCTCTCTCTCTTTCTTTGTATCTCTCACTGGTCAAATTAAACAAATGAATAAATAAAATTAAATAATTAAAAAAAATTAATTTTGCACTGACTAACAAAAGCATAGTCTTAAGATTTTATTTGTGAGGTCATGCTGTGTATGCTGAGAGGCAGGTTGTTTTTACTTCATATTTTGAAGAGCTTTGTATATAAACTTATAGGACGGGGACAGCCTCATTCTTTTTAATGACTACAGAGTATTGCGTAGGGCAAATGGTCATAAAAATTGCAGTTGTGTCCTTTATTATTTAAACAAGACTGAAGTTTGCTTTTTAAGTGTATTTAATAGGTTTTTCTAGTTTTTTATTTATAATTTTTGCCTTAGGGTGCATGTGCTTACCAGGGAGAGTGAAAGAGAAAGAGAAAGTGAGAAATTACACACACACACACACACACACACACACACACACACACTGTGTGTTAAGCGCCACTAGATCTGCGTCAAGCCACTCGATCTGGGACTCAAACTGTGCAGTAGGCCATGTGGGACCCAGCTGCCCTAACCACCACACCACCAGCTGGCAGCTGTCCCTGGTTTTTCTTTTCTTTTTTCTTTTTTTGAGAGAGGTTTTTGCCTTAGGGCATGTGTGTTTACCAGTGGGAGTGAGAGAGAAAGAGAGAGAGACAGACAGTGAGAGGGAAAAATCACCCCCGAGGAGGGATGGCCACTTCTCCTCCATTTTCTTTTTGGAGTCTTGGGCATGCCCACTCACCAGATCCAGGACTTAAACTGCGGTCGGCCATGTGGGAGTCAGTCAACGTAACCACTATACCATCTACTGGTCTCGGTTTTTCTGTTTTTAGAATGAATAAAGAGCTTATTATAATGAGCTATAATGAGCTTATTATAAGTAACAGGAAGTACTTAAATTGAAATAAGTTAAATTAATAGTTTCTATTAAACCAGTTTGCTCTCAAGTGTTTTCTTAAATGTTCCCTCCCCTGTTCAAGTAATCCGTATCTTTAATAGGATATTTCCTCATTGACAATTCAAAACTAAACGTTGACTGAAACTCATGACACATTAGTCAGACACACCTAGAGTTTTCTGTATTACTATACATGGTGCATATCATGAAAATAGTTCAGGTAACAGCATTTATTCTTTTCTTACCACAGCTTTGTATCGTGTGGGATCTTTACTTGCATTTCATAAAAAGCTACAGTGATTTAATATCCACAATATCCATGCACAGGTGTTATGCTTTTAGATGTTTTTTTTTTAGATATAGAAAATGAGATTGGGGCCAGCCGGTGTGGTGGTCTTTAAGAAGACTGAGTCTCACATGGCCAACTATGTAATTCAAGTCCCAGACTCAGAAGCACACTGGCACATGTGTGTGCCTGCCCAGAATCCTGAGGGGAGTAGAGCAGGGATTGTAGCACAGCCAGCCCCCCCGGGGATGTACTCCCCCACACCCGGTCTCTCTCTCTCTCTGGTGAGCACACATGTCTTCAGTCGGAAGA